AGTGAGAAAGACAACGACACTCTGCTGATTTGTGCTATTCAGATATACATGCGGGTTGGCAAACTTTGTATTAAATGAAAGGTACATAGCCCTACCTGGTGAAGGTTTATACTCTTATATTCCTCATGGACTTAAATTTACAAAAAGACCAGTATAAGACCTTAGTATGTCCAATAGTATCAGGTTGATCAGCTCCTTTTGCAGAGAACGCATGCAAGAAGACTAGCAATTAGTCATCTTGACCAAAGAAATATAAAAGAGAGATCTGGCATATGTTGGCTACCGTTCTTTGTAGGAGATGCAGAAGAACAGCTGTCACATTGTAGAGATTTTTTGTGAAAGTTTCTAGCAGATGTCACCATCTGCTATTGCTCTCTCTATGAAAAAGAGAAAAAAGGAGACTGAAAAGTTGTCAAAGAAAGAAAGRAAAAAACCCAACAATAGAATATATAAATTCAAAAGACATTGAACCACAGATACAGTGGTGAGGGAACCCCTTACCCTCTGCCTCTGGCAAAATAGTGATACAGACGTACAGTAAAAGCCAAGTGCATGCCCCATTTTCTCCAAATCATGATTTCTTTACATTTTACTCTTACTACTTATACTTTGACAACCTGCAGCCTGCAATCTAACACCTAGCCATTTCCTTCCTGGCTGAGAGAGATCACAGAAATGAGCAGTTGTATCCTTTCCCTCTGGCTATACAGCGATGGTCTGATGACAACTGCTTTACCTGAGTTGGTATCAGACAAATAAAAATTCCCCACTGAATGATCTACATAGTGATGTCATGTGTAGAGACAAAGCACCTATTAATCTGGGGAAAAAAAAAAAAAAAAAGAACTAACAAAAAAGCCAAACAGAACTTCTGTTGCATTGTGTCAGAAAACATGCTGTACATGTTTGTACATCTTGGTAGATAACGATCAGATGAGGCAAGCAATGAAGTGGTTAACCAAATCGGAGAGTTGATCTCAGACATCCAAAAACACATCTTGTAAATCTCAGGAAACCTCTTAAACTCTTACACAGAACTTAGGAGAAAGAAAAGTAAGGGCTTGTCTGGGAAGAAGCAAATGACATTGTCAACAAGTAGTTTGTTTTCTTACTAACCAAAAAAAAAAAAAAAAAAGATATCAAGTGAGAACCAGAGCCCAACAAACGAGCAGGAATCTTTCCAGTGGTGTCAAATAGGCTTGGATCAAGCCCCAGCTTTCCTGAAAACTAGACTTGCTAATTGCCTCACTATTTCACTGTCAAAACTGTCATCTTACCAAACTGAAATACCTTTCCAGTATTGCTGCATTTCCACATCAGTAATACTGGGAGCCACGTTCAACCACCAATAGGAACTGTCTAGGCATCAGCTTTCCATTATACTGTCTTGCAAGGGCAGTAATTGCTGACAAAAGAAAACATATATTAGCCATTCATCATTCTGGTTCTTTTTTTTTTTTTTTTTTTTTTTTTTCCACATAGTACTCATTTTATCACTGTTTGTAAAAAGTTTGCTTCTTATGGTGTTTCCCATCGTCAGATCTCCTACAAAAAGCTGGCTTTCTGTGCAAGATCACCCACTGCAGCTTTCCAGGTCAGGACTTCCCAACTAGCTCTTCAATACCTTCTAGTAAAGACATACTATGTTATGAATGTACCAAGTTGTGCATTTCCCTGCTTTTTGGTTGTGATTTTTGGTTGTGTAACCAACTTGTCGCTTACTACCACTGAAGAGCACATCCTACTTTTCAGGTAGTATCATGCTTTTATAATGAAGAAGTTTCWATAATTGAAGATCTCTTTCTCCTTTGGCCTTATAAATCAGAAAGCAGTTGAGATGGATAAAAAGTGATGAAAGTAACTGAAGAAACCAACTTTAGCAAGGTGTCTTGTTGATACTGGCCTTCTCCTGAAAGTAAGCAAATTATGTTAACTATCTTTCTCTACCAGACCATCCCTTGAAATACTACGCCAGACCGTGACCTGGCATAAATCCATATGACCATACCATTCAGTGAATATTCAGCCATACTGATCTGTGTGCACAGAAGAAGTTACACTGGTCAAAAAGTGATTATTTAAGAATGGGAGGCAACAGGTAATATGTACTCGAAAAAAAACAAACAAAAAAAGGAACAAGCAAACAAAAAAACAAAGAAAAAAAGAAAAAAAGTACTACAAGGAGGCTCAAAATAAGTAAATAAATATACAAATAACAAAGTTAGTCCAAAATAACCACTTACTATACTTTACATGAGACAGAAATTACTCTGTGTTATTAAGTACACCCTCATTTCTTAAGCATGGGTCCGAGTACTTGTGTAATTTGATAAGGCTGCAGTATTTCCAAATTAAGATTTAAGGCTCAGACAGTGACTTCAACCAATGTAGATTATCACTAGTGTTTCTTTAAAGTCTCTGTGGCTGTCAGCACATGAAATGTCAGAGTTAAAAACATGCCCACGCAGTGATCCTAAGTGTTCAAATTTGCAGTAGGCTGTCACATCTTAAGAATTATTTCTGTTATAGATAAGTTAGATAAAGTAGGGAATCTAATGTGCTTCTCAGAGCAAGCACTTTTCTCAAATCCTGGTGATTTCAAGAAATAGGAAACCTCTTGCATTAGACATAGCCATTTTTAACCTTATGAACTYGGAGTAGTCTTGCCTATTACTATATAGGCTACATGTCATTAACTACTGGCATTCCTTCCCAAATTAAAACTAAGAAGCTAAAGAGAAAAAATGGTATTCTGTTATTTCTCCTTGATTTTTCCTAATAGTATCCTAAGCAGAAAACTGGATCAGCAAAAATCTTTCCCTTGTAAGTCTGAAAGGTAGGAAAAGCAATTTTTTTTAAGAGTTCTATTAGAAGGGTGGGGTTTTCTGTACATTTATACATCAAAACACTACGCAAATGGGACGAGGCTGTGGTTACAGTTGCTTTAATTTCTTGTATTCCTGCTTAAGCTGATGGAGCTAATTGAAACTATTCCTAAGGCAAGGATCCTGACCATGACAAGAGTGGCTTAATCCCCACGACAGGAGGAACACACCCAAATAATAGCAAAGCTTGAGACTTCAGATCACAGACTTGGCTTCTCCATAGGGACATTAAATGTGTTGGAAGGAAACTTAGGATCAGCAGTTCCATCAGAGCAGTATCAAAGCTGGAACAAATGGAGGAGGAGCCTAATGGACCAAAATAGCAAGGAGCACTGATTATTTTTCTTTCCAGAATGTCACAGGCCTAGAGAAAAGCAGCATGAACAGTAAATGTATTCATGTAATTTCTAACTCACGCTAAAGTTCTTTATTATTATGATTAGAAACCATAATTAGCCTTTCTTTTTCCCTCATTTTACGTCAGCCACACTGTTTTAATTGCATTATTATAACTGGAAACATATAAAGATATTTGCACATCAGATCCTATGGTGTACATAGAATTTATGTAGCGAATTGTGTAAAGAGAGCAAAGTAGTAAGGTTTATAGAAGAAACAATATAATTAATTTAATTCTCCTTTAATATTCAACTTCTACTGTCATCTCCTCCAATGAAAAGTGTTAGATCTGATTCTACCACCAAGGATTTGACGCATCATTTAATATAAATGCTGCCTTTACCCAACGTACTACAAAGTTTCACAGCTGTGTTCCAAAAGACTTAAATCATTACTTAAACTCTATTGAAATCACCCTTCCCCTTCCC